AAAATACTAAAAATTTTAGACAAGGATCACCAAAATGAAGGTAAGCCTGAAAAAGCACACTACTGCAGTACCTCAAAAGTAAGAAATTGTAAAGCACAGGACAGTCATTACTTAAAAGCTGTGTAAATCTGGAAAAACAATTGTCTCTGCTCCCTGTGTGTAGATATTCAATTATGTTTCCTGACAGTCATGGTATTTTTTTTTTAAGATGACAACTTTATAAGGATTTAAATAAACCTACAGCTTATCAGTAGTAGGTAACTATGGCACCTAAAAATACAAAAAGCCAGGCAGCCAAGGGAGCACTGAACAAAGGGCGTTTTGGACTCCCACCTTGCCCAGGTCTCAGACAGATGGAAGAGTCCCCAACAAGGTTATTCTAGAATAAAGTCTCCCCCTTGTGGATCTCTCACATAATAAAAACTCCATCAAATCCTTAATTGTGTAATAAAGTTTGTGTTCCTTCCTTTGCAGGTAAGAATTTCAGTGGCAAATATGAACATGTAATGAAATCATAGTACATGGTTTACATAACTCTGTGGGCTTGATCCCACCTCAGGCAACACAAGCTGTTTTGCTGTAAGATACATTTTGGTTCTGTGATAAATTCATTAAAAAAACAATAAAACCTTCAAAATAATTTGATTCCTTCTCAACTCTATGTTTAGTTATGAAGGCTGGTTTAGTGAAGCCCCTCAAAACTATCCAGCCCCAAACTGTCAATGGTTTAGTGAGGTAAAAATTAAAATTCCAAACTCATTTGACTTAATTACTAAAAATAATATAAAGCATGGCAAGATTCCCATCTGATTTTAAGTGCACAAAGTTTACTATCCCAAAAAAAGTAGTTTCACCCAAGAGCAACTTCTTGCAACTCAGAGATTAAGGAGCTATAGCAGCACTATTTGCAGAATGACTTCCTCAAACACTTCATTAACTACACTATTCTCTGATCTGCATTAATTTAGAGCAATCATCAAGATTTCTTTGCATATGATAATTCACATTATCATAAATTAAGAAATCATTGTGATCACTTAAATTATCATGCTGATCTCAATTTGCTCTTAAGGTATTTAAAAGTATTTCTAATAAATCATACATTTTGACTGCAGGATTGATTTTAATTTTTTTTTATTTTCTAAGGAACAAAATCCTTGATGGCTTGAAATATTATTCAATTACATACGTGACAAACTCATAATTTATTTGCAGCACCAACTGTTGAGTCAATACTGCGTAAAAAGCCTTTTAACTATCCAGAAACATGTTCTCACATTCATTTCAGAATCGTAATATAATGGTTAAATATTTATTTCTTGCAAGTTCTGGAATAGTGCTAGGTTTCCTACTTTCATTAACATTCTCTTATTTGTATGCAGTAATCGCTTTAAAAATATTAGCATTGTAATTTCTTGCTAGCACTATGATAAATCAACAGAAAGGCTTATCCCCATGCCTCCCCAAAGAAGAGCATAACTCTGCTTCCCTCAATGCCAGTGACAAAACCTCTTTAATTTCAGGATAACACCCACAGAATTCATGAAAGATGTCACTTTGACAGTGTAGGACTCTTGTCCTTTCTAACTGCAGACAGATGCAGCAGCTAAGCAGAGCTATACTCAAAGTGCCCCTGTAGGAGCCAACAGCTCCTTGAACTAGAACTTCTTCCCTTTGTTTCAGTCCTTGACCTCTCAATAACAACTATCAGCAAACCATATTTTCTCTTCAAAATCTGACATTTTTTTAGGATATAACATCTAGCTATTGGGAACAAAAAGAGATACTATTTATTCATTTCAAACATCCATCAACAATGTCTGTCAACTGCTGTTACTGTGGGACATGCAGAGGTGAAACGACAAGGATCCACTTGAATCTCTGAATCCAAAGCATTTCTGATACTTTTTTGTTCCAAGAATTCAGCTCAACAAAAATTAAGTATGCACTGCTAAACTGTGAAAGGCTACTAAAGCTAAGTACAGGGGTTCTGATCTGTGATGCTTGACTCATGGAAAAATGGGCTTTCAGGAACTATGAAAGCAAAGACTAGAAACTCATGCAAAAAACATCTTCAACCTAGAAAAAAAAAAAAAAGACATTTCACTGTATTCTCAGAGACTGCCTGCTTATCTTGACAGTATGGATGAGGAACTACAATTCTTACTGAATATAAAATAAAAGGAGAAAAATAATTGGTAATTATAATATTGCAGGCTATATTTCAAAATCATTGTTACTGAGTACTAAGTGCCCAGATTTTCTGGCAAATAGTCTCCATACAGATCATCCAGCACTACTAAATGAGCTGTATTGCTAGTAGTGACAGACATTTGTAATACATGATATTTCACAATGAGGACAATTGTTAAATTTTATCCCTGAAGAGAAACATCTTTACTACCACATCCTTACACAGCTCATGTGTCAATACTCACACAGTGATTATGGATCACTAACTTCAGTAGCTGGCAGACAGCTCCTACATATATGTGCATACTTACTCTCATTAAATGCACCAGAATGGGTACAACACCATGAACATGAAAGGAGATTTTCCTGTTAAAGCAAATTATGGGATCCAGAAACAAGCACAAGAATGATCCAGACATTCAGTCTACTGCTACCTGTCACTCATGCATGAACCAAGGATGATTTCTGTATAATGGTCATTCAGTTTCAGGTCATTCAAGCTGACAAATAATTCCAAGATTCTATATGGGAAATTAAGGAAGCCACACTGTGAAAAATCTACCATTCATTGTCATTTCACACCATCACCTCTGTGCTATCACAGTAACATGTACCATTGCTGAATTCATTGCTGCTTTACCCTTGCAAGCCTGTTGTCCTCAAACAACAGATACTCCTCATCTCCTTCCAGACCTCCCCGTCTCTTCAAAATCATGTCTTTTTCACAGCTACAGAATTTTACCTTGCTTTCTTCCTGCAGCTCTCTTCACATTCCTTAAAACTTCCCCAATTCCCTCATTTCACTTGCTATTCAAGCTGTCTTCTCTGCAGTTTCCAATGTCCCACCCAAACCACAGGTTCTCTCAATATGTCTCACCATTCCTCAGTTCTTGCTCTCCCTGTTCTCTCACCATCACCAATCTTTCATCCTTCTTTTTTCAAACCATGAATTTCTGTGATTTTTTGCATTCTCCATTTTTTATTATGGATGAAACCTATCTATTCTGGGAATGTAAATCCATGACAAGTACATGGACTACCAAATGAAATTACAAAAATAAATACATTATTAAGAGACAAAGCCCCTTTCTCCCCCGTCTCCTTATGGTAATGCAGGGTCCTCACTGCTCTATATACCACAGTGGCACAGCTCTCTGCATGATCTCGTGTGCATATAATTCAGACAAAGCAAGCAGGGAACACAGCAGGGATAGCACAATATTCTTTCTGACCCACAGAAGTTAGGTGGAAAAGTTATTAAACCTTCAGGAGATTATTACTGTGAGGCACGAGCTGCGTGAAATGAAATTCAGAAATAGAGTATCTGTGGGGTTTGGGCCATATTACAATATATTAAAAAACCAAAGGATCATCTTTCTCCATGTTTCCACAAGGAAACATGAAAATTACGCTGGAAAATAACATATCAGTGATTTTAAGTATGGCCGGTTAATGAGGGGTGTTTGTGAGTCTGGAGAAACCAGCGTGAGGTATTATCAGAATCAGAAGACTACTCACACATGCATCCCAAAAAGCCCACAGATGTCTTTTCAATTACTGCTGGATATAACATCCATGAGCACATCTATCTACACCTATCATACAGTCATGTTCAAGAAGAACAAAAGAATTACAACAGTACACGTCAGACAGTAGGAAGCCCATGGCCAAACTTGCTTTTTCTATAGGCATTACATCTGAGAATTTCCAGGAGAACCATGTAAGAAAGCAAATAAAGCCTACAAGGCACCATCATGTGTTATTTTTCTGTGCTAAGAGCCCTACAGATAACTCTTGCATAGAAAGTTATGCCAGAAGGAACAATAAAAACCTCTGTATATCAAAGTCACTAGGACCTTCACACAGTACCTCCAAACTGAGCCCAGTAAGTTGTCTGACAACATATCTTTCAGGAGGTTGTCAGTCTGGATGTGAAAACATAAGAAAGTTGTGAATCCTCACTCCTCTTGTTTATTTTTAAAGTAAATTTTTACTGCAAGATGTGTGTGCACTAAACAATATCTGGGGTTTTGGAAGAGGAAGACCTTGAAATTTCCAGCTGAAAGCAACAAACCAAACACCAAGCAAAAAGCAGAGGAATCTGTCCCCGAAGAAAACTACTGAAGCTTGAGTATCTCTTTGGCATAGATGTGCCACCTTGCTCACTTTATGTCACTACATCAGTCCTGTGAGCCATCAAAGCTTAGCCTGCCTATCTCTGGTAAACAAGTATTATAGTCTGACAATACAGCCTGGTAATTCCTCTGTCAAGGGGAGGGACATCATTTTGCTCACCATTAAAGTGCCCCAAATTTCTAGAATGGAAACTACGGGTGACAACTTCTGCTTCCCAGAAGGGGGGATGAAAAGGTCATTTGTGCAGGAGACTTTTTTCATTTTTCCTATGACAAAATGAGCTAAGAATAAACACCTACCTATTGACTTTGCCCTCCAGTAAATAAACCTCATTCTTTAACTCTTACTAATATCATCTTAAACATACATTTGTACTGTACCTAGAGCATACAACATTAGAAACACTTCATCTTTCCCTCCCCCTTTCTACTGTGCAAGGGAGAAGAGAAGCAGCGCTGCACAAATACCCAACCGCGGGCTGGAGCCCGGCTCCTGACCCCGGTAATTCCTACTCTTGGGCCAGGCTAAGCCTGGCAGGCAGCGAGGCCGGCAGGGCACGTCGACCCCGCCGAGAGGAACCGGGCACCTCACGGGGGCAGGAGGAGAGCTCGGCAGCTCCGGGCTCGGTGCCCCCGAGGGGGCCGGGAAGGAGGGGCGGTCCCGCGGCTCACCTTGTGCTCCAGGACGCTGATGTAGCCCTCCAGGAGGCCGGCCCCGACGGGCAGAGCCGGGTGGCGCTGGCCGCGTTCGGGCGGGCGGCTGGGCACCGCCGCCACCTGCTGCTGCCGCCGCCGCGGCTCCGGGTGGCCGCCGCCGATGCCGATGCCGCCGTACATGAGCAACAAGCTGGTGCACATGGTGGTGAGCGCCAGGCAGACGGCCAGCCCGTGGCGCTGCGGGGGGCAGAGAGAGAGCCGGCTCAGCGGGCTCCCCCCGCCTCGGGGCCCGGCGGGGCGCGCCGCTTCCCCGCCGGCGCACCCGCAAGTTTCACCCGCCACACACACCCGGCAGAAGTGCGAGGAGAGAACTGGGGAAGCCCCTCCATCCTCCTCCTGTCCCCTCGCCAGCCCGCTCCCGTGGCTCCCTCCTTCTCCCCCAGCCCGGCTTCCTCGCCTCTTCTCCCCTCCGTGCGCCCGGCTACCCGGCGTCTCTCATTCCCGTGCCGCCGTCCCCTTTGGGCAGCTCATCCGTGCATTTTAACGAGTGTTGGGGACTGTAGCGCTTCCCCCCGCCCAGATACCTCCAGCCTCGTCCTTTAAGCAGATCGGTTTTCTGTACGCTCCTTAAAACGCACACACACACAAAACCCCCAAACCACGAGCAACACGAATAAAAGAAAGCAGGCGGAAAGTTCTTGGTCGCCGCCACCAAGGTTCGGTCGCCTTCGCGCGATGCCGGAGAGCCGCGGGGATGCAGCCCGGCGAAGGCTGGAGCGTGTGCAGGGTGCCCGGGGCAGCTCCGCTCCGCGCCGCTCCCCTGCTCTCCTCCCCGCTGCCGGAGCCGGGATGAGCCGTGCCAACAATGCACTTACCATCAGGGTCTTCATTTTGTGCGCCTCCCGGCCGCCAGTCCTCCCGCTCCCCGCTAGGCTCGGCATGGCGGGGAAGCCGCAGACATGGCTCGGCCAGGGAAGCGCCGCCGTGGCGGGGATTAGGGGGGAATTACACTCGGCCGGACCCTCGGAGCCTGCCAGAGCCGGGTCCTCGGCTGCCCCGCCTGCCTCCGCCTCCGCCTCCGCCTCCTGCTGCCGGCGCAGCGGCGACTTCAGGGCAGGTGGAAGTTAACTTCTGCCTCCGCTCGGGCGCTGCTCCGCTGCCGAGCCCGCGGCGCGGGGGGGGCGGCGGCGGCGGGATCGCCGCGGGCACCGGGCGGGCACCGGGCGGGCACCGGGCGGGCACCGGGCGGGCGGCGCCCCGAGCGAGCAGGAGCAGGGGCTGGAGCTCCTTCCTTCCTTCCTTCTCTCCCTCCCTCTGCCCAGGCCTCTGTCCTGCTTGTGGTAGCGGGGCACGACCTTCATGTTACATTATTTGTATTTTCCCCTAGCGGAAAATTTCTCGTTCTCCCACCGCTACCTGGCTTTCCTGGAGCTGGCAGCGATCAGGCAATACTTTAAATTCACGTTAGTAAAAAAAATTGACGCCCTCAACTCCTTGTGCGGTGCTGACAATGCCCCCTCACACAGTCTTGCCTAAGCTCTAACAACCGGTTTCAAACCCTTTTGACAGAAGCTTTCTTCATCTTATAAATGAAATCTCACAGACTTGCTCCCCATGCCATCTCTCTGGTTTCTGAAGGCGGACATTTTCCCACTCTCACAAGCAGCCTTCTAAAGTTTTTTATTCTTTCTTTGTGTTAATAGTGTACAGTTCAGTTGTGAAAAGTTTATGAGACCCCAGATTGCAAATATCTTTTGCTGTGGGAATCCCACGTTTATAAATGTGCCTCTTCTACACAAGCCATTTTTAGGGTTGATCTCAACGAAGTTACTAGACTGACAGCATTAAAAAAAATCTATCTCCTAATCATGAAATTATTTCACTTGAAACTACTCATCGAAATAGTAGCTCTAATATATGGCTTCACATCTAACCTACAGCTATGTGGTATTAAAAATTATATTAAGGAGAAAACTATCAACAGAGTAACTCAACCATGGTCACAATAGCACGTTTCTCAAGGCTGGAATTGTCATTGAAATCAATTTTTTATCTTTGTTAATTCATTGGAGGACTAACAGTGAAACAAATATACCATCTCTAGCATGGGCACAGCGTGCTGCAATTAGTGCCTTTTAAGAGAGGAAAAAGAAAGATGAAGGTGTGGTTCACCAGCGGATAACGCAGTAAACACAGCTTTATCACTCCACGGAAGACACCAGTTACACACCCGCTGTTTATGCGGTTTGTAGGGTTGGTTTCAACAGCACCAGTTGTTCAGACAAACAGAGCAATGTAAGAAGAACCTTATCAGGTCTTGGTAATTCTTTATTATGTGGTTGCACTTGACACTCAAATTAGTGAAACAAAGGGCCAACTTGATGAATCATTAAAGCAAATTATCTGTGGCTTTCCAAGGCTTCCTATAAGAGACTACAGAAGGCAGCTCATGCATTTTACAGTGCTGTTTCTCAACTACCAGCAAACAGGTTGCTGGTGACTGACCTTTCTGAGTCTTTCATATATATTTTGCAGTGCCAAAGTGAAGCATCATTTTTATGATTTAGGCTCCTGGCTGTATGTTAGACATCTGTTACACAGTATGTCTGACCAAATTCATTAAACTTACGGGTTTTGGTAGAATAGGCTGATTTAAAAATCTACTGATAAAGGAGACAAACTAAATTTTCTAATTTAATGGTTGACTTGAATAATGTCCAGCTTTCTGCTTGTCAAATATTTAATTAGATTGCCATTTTGGTCATAGACTGTATTCTTGGCAGTCAAATGCTCACTGAAACAAATACAGTAGTGTAATGTAAATCCTATGGAGGTTTTTGTGTAAGCACAGGAACTTTAAAAATCATCTGGAAAACAGCCCAGCTATTTAATTTAATTTTAAATTCCTATGAACTAATATGAACTAGCTATCTGGAGGTTTGGGGGTTTTAACACTATCGGAATCTGCATACATGTAAATATGACTCTGTATACCCAACAGCCAGATTTGCAAGGAGAAGAGCATAGGCTGCACTTAAGAGCACTTAATCAACTTGGAAATGAGTCAATACAGAAAACTTTTTAAAGTCCGTTTGACTTTCTGCTTCAACCAATTTATTTTCTATATGCAAGGGATAATGAACGACCCATGCATTTCTCTTCCTCCTTAGAGCTGGGGGTAAGGACAGATTAAAACATAAACAGCTGTTTTCCCTAGCCCAGGAGAAAAAGGGGTAGAGTGGTAGTAGGGCTTTCCAACCAAATCTGACTGAGGAAAGCTTTTCATCTGCATGGAATGGTCTGGGTTGTCTCCTCTTCAAACTTACCCTTCCCATTTTCATCTTTCTTGTAGCTACAGGCTGACAAAATAGCCATATGGAATAAAAATCTGCTCGTGGCAGCTTCAGGAAGACCTAAGATGCTAATGACAACATAAAAATCCATGCAGAGTGAGAAATCTGTGAAAGAAGTAGTGGTGCAGAGAGAGACAAACCTCTCAACACTGACAGTGGACTTGGAGCAACAGAGTTCTTTCACTGATTCCTAAATAAAACCGCTCAAACGGCAACTTCCCCTGAGATGTCTGGATGTATGAAATAACCCCCTTTTTGTAATGCATTTTAGCCCAGTTTGTCTTTCAGAGATTTCCTTAGATAGATATAAAATAACCTTTTCAAGCTATGGCTGATTTCTCATGAAGCTCCTATAGAGATTATATGGCATAATTTACACCTTACTCTAATGCACAGTTATAAACATCCTTTCCACATGATGGTCGGCTTGCAATGAGTACTCAAGTGGAGGAGCCTCCATGCCAGTGCACCTCAGCAACTGGTAGCCAAAATATTCAGTGGAATTCGGCAATGGTTGGTGTTTCTGTGGATGATCCAGATGTTGTTTTCCCTAAGTGCATTGTCTACCACCTGTGTGATCTCACTGTGCCTGTCTCCTTTCCACCATGGCCAGAGGCAGAGAGTCTGCACATGCAGTCGGTAAACAGAAAGCCTCTAAAGTGGAAGCTGTAGCTACCCTTCAGTCTTGTCACCTCCTCAGAGCAAAAGCCCAGACAGTCTTAAATGTTTAATTATTTTGAGACTCATTGGCAGTGTGGTTCTTTTGCTGGGAAAAAAATGTATTTTAGAGAACTGATTTAGATCTGTGCCTAATTTTAAAAAGAATAAGAAAAAGGGAATTTTTGTTTATCTACTACCCTTCACAAAAGAGTGAGAAGAAAAGGGATCTGGTGTGATATAAGTAGTTAAACTCTAGGTGAGTTCTGCATGTCACTCTGCAGGAGTGCTGAAAGCACTTAAATACATTCCCATCACACTCTGTGTATGAAGGTGTTTTTCAGAAACACCTGATGATAGAAGGTGATAGAAGTGCTTAAAATAGATTGGAGGGGTGGGGTTAGCTGTATCAGGACCACTTTGATATCCTTATGCCTTTGAAATGCAGAATGAGTTACTAAGATTTGATAGGCAGAAAACATGAGAAAATATTTGTCAAATATTTAAAATTAATCTAAAAGTGACTCCTGGTAAGTTGCATCATTCTGTCATTTCCATTATATTCTGTGATCTGTGAAGCCCTGGATCTGTCTCCAGCAGCTGGACCTCTTGGCTCTACTGAAATAAATTCCTACAGCCATTTTATCCATCTCTGCTTGCTGGGGCAAGGAGCTCCCTTGGAAGTGTAAAGCTCCCACTTCTGCAGCCCCGTGAGGTTGGAGCTTAAACCATGATCACCAGCATAGAACAGAACAGTGCTTGTCCTGGGCCTGCAGCCAGTGACATTTGGGAGGATGGCTGGGAGTGCCACATTTCAGAGAAAAGGGAGACTTTTTTTGACTGACTACCTAGAAAAGCAAGACTAAAGGTGCTAAGGAGGTTGGAATATGATGGGAATTTGTGTGGATTAATGGACAGCAGGGCAGTCAAAAGTACATATAAAATGAAATACATCACGCTGATATCACCTCCATGTGTTGTTTTATTATTTATGCCTATATGAAATTTTAACCTCTTTTTCCTGAGAAAAAGGGCTGCATTTTTGCCTTGCAACACAACCAATGGAAAACATTCAGCAGCCAGCAAAGTAATGAGCCTACACTATAGATTTTTCAAACTGCCCAGTGACTCATGAAATGCTTCTCAAAACTGGAAATACGCATTGAGAATTGGTCAAAAAATGTAGAAACAATATTATAGATCAGTCAATACTGCCTCTCCTTTATGAAAGCAGGCTGTCTTTGAACTTCTGACAGAAGCAAGCAGTGATAGATGCATAAAGAAATGAAATATTGCATGGAAATGGAAGTGCAAATGAAAACAGGAGGGGGAAATAGTGAGATAAGATCTGCTGAATCTGCTGGTTTTTTCCTTCTTATTTCTTAGCTTCCTCCTCAATCTAAAAAAGGTGCTGGATTTCAGAAACAATGTCTAGCTCAACTGAACTGACTCCTCTGCTTCAAAACCACACATGAAACACTGTTCTTCATTCTAATCACTTTTTTGGAGAAGTTAAACAAGACACATCCTGGAATATACAGTGCACTCAAAATTGCTCATCTAAAGTCAGAAACTTTGAAGATTAAGAAATTAGCAGAGAAGGCTTGAGATGGAGTTCACCAAATGCCACTTGTGGGAGCAAAACAGGCATGACCAGGAGCTCCTTCATGGCATTTTGTTTTACCATTCACTACCAAAACAAGAGAAGGAAGTCATATATCCTGTGTGTAAACAAAGCACAGATTTAACACATGGACCAAAGCAACTGAGGTTGATTTGGTATGATTTGGTGAGAGACTGGATAAATTTAAATTTGGGGTATCTTTGCTGTAACATATGAGATCTTAAGAGGATCCTGAAGGGCTCAGTTTTCAGTCTACATATGTTTGTTCCTTTGGAGAGAAAAACTACACCAACAGGAAGTCAAAGTGTTAAACACAACAGAATTTCTAAACTTTAAAAAAAACCAAGCTAATATCAGACGTGAAGCATCAGAGAAAAAAGGAAGCAAAGAAGGATAAGTGCTCATTATGGATTGGTTTGCAGTTATGTATTATTAGAAAGTCGATAGAAAAGTCTCCTGCTATTTCTAACACAAACACAAACATCGCTTATGATGACAGGCTGAGCAAAAACTGTGGCAGCAAGGGGATCCACTGGCATCCAACTGAA